GGATGCGGTCTCGGCCCATGTTGCGGAAAAACGACAACGTCTACTAAATGATGCAGTTCAGGAATATCAACTGCTTCAAATACCCGTACATCGCCAGCAACAATGCAAGGATTTTTTGTTATCATTACTTTACCTAAAAAAAAATGATCATGCGAAAAAATAATTAAGAATAAAGCAAACATCTTTCATACAAGAATAAATCTTTCAATCTCTCAATACAATAGTCATACTGCGATAAATTCCTGTACTTACCGGTTAAAATAACTTTTGCAGCAGATCTGGATGGTGTTTTAAGCCAAATATTCCTAGTGCACTGCACAAAAACTTGACCGCATTGCAACTGACCCGTTTCGTCCATTACACCAAACATCGAACGCCCAAGATGTGGTGGTACTTGAATTTGTATTTTAGCAGTCAATTTTCCTAAAATAACATCAAAATTTCCATAAAAATCATTTAGATACATCAAATGATTGAAAAGTTTCTAAACTAATTTAATGGACATACTTAAAGTGCATTTGATATTTGCTCTTAATAAGCTTCGAAAGAACGGTTCTTGCGTTAAGGCAAAACCACGTGCAAGTGTTAGACGTGAAACATTGACACGCCATGGTAATTCATTAAGTCTTTCACGGCATCTGAAAAAGTAAAAATAAAAAAAAAAACTATTCGCTTAACATTTTTAATAGTAAAAAATTTTTCATTGACGTTGCACTTATATCCAATAATCTTGTTAATTTACTGAACCAATAATGGTTCAGTAAATTAACAAGATGAAAATAGTTCAACTTTTTTTAATTTTTATTAACATCAAATAATTCAGGGATTCTTTACTAATGAAACTAATCACAAAAAAGAGTAATAAGCAACAAACTTTTCTTCGCTCATTAACATATCAGTTAATTGCGTCATTTGCATATCCAGTAAGTCATGTATACGCTTTCTAATCCGTTCATGTACGGAAAAACCTTGCATCCCACTAACCTAAAAAAAGCTCTTTTTTAATTTTATTAATGCAATATATAATTTTAATTATTCTTAGTATAAAAGATATTAATGTCCTCGAAAAAAAATTTCGATAACTTTGTAACAAGTTCATTTAATCTAAATTGATATTTGAAAATTACTTTGTATTGCCTGTTAGAATAAAGTCCTTATTTATCAAATAACATATTATTTGATTTGAGTGAAACAAATGCATAACTTACGTCAAAGAGCCAAATTGTAATGCATTTCTACAATTATAGATAGTAATGCTTGATTAGTTGTTGCAAATATTTAATGATTTGTTTTGTTCGATTAATAACAGTTTTATGGTACTTTCAAATAAAATTAATTGTCTAATAATGAATGCATTTCATTCATACTAAATTTAAATGATTTTTTTGGCTGATTAACCTATAAATTTCAGGTTTTTCGGTTTGATTAACATTTAATGCTCCTGAACCATTAATTATTTAATATTGCAAAATTTTAAGCTTTACCCGAAGTAGTACTTATTTTTCGCTAATAATTGCATTTCAATACTAATTCTATAATTACCTGATCCAAAATACATATCATTGGACGATTGAGACAAACTGGTGTCGGTGCCGAATATTTTACAATTTCAATGTATTCGTCACGTGGTGCTTTGAATTTATCCTATATTAATGAAACGTAATTCTTATAAAATTAAATAAAATCGAACTTATCCAAAGTAAGTTAAAGTTGTTGGAGAAAAAAAAGAAAACCATGAGAAAAATGAAAACCATACATAATGAATTACCTGAGATGGACGAAATACAACAGCTAAATCATTTTGCTTATTTGTAATTTTGTTTTTATCAATTATGTTATTAGTAACAGCCCAGTGTTTGCGTTGGTCCAGACTAGGATCTACAGAGAGAACACCTTTAATGCCACGATGACGAATCTGGAATGTTGAAAAAATTAGAGCTTAAAATTGAGAGTCAAATGCTTAATATATTCTGATTTTTCGTATCAGAAATAATCAATGATTCAAATAAATGAATCATTCGTTAGAGAATATTGTCTAGAAGGATGAAATAAAGTATAGAAATTGTCATAGCGATTATATCAAGGCAAACCTGATAACAACTAGGGACTGATGCGCCCAATCCCACATCTAAAGCTATTTTTTCAGCAAACTCCTTTGATACTTTCCCAATACCATCCGAAAATATATAAAAATCTTGATTCGTATCTCTTCCACCAATGATATCATAAGTTTTATTATATTTATGACGCTTTAATGTTACCTTACATCGCTGAAGAAAATAAAAACAATAGATTGATCATGAAATAAATGGTAATTTGAAGAATAATGATAACGTGAAGAATAAAAAAAGAATATTTAATTGATTGCATGGAAGTAGTACTTACAGTTATCTGTTTAATTAGATCTCTCATAAAGTTGAAATGTAATATGCAATGCATAAGCAACATATTATTCTATTTCTACCACGTTTCTGATTAACCTGGAATTAAGCACTTGGTCATATGATGAAAATAATAAGCAAGCATACCTTTGCTTGCGTAAAACATTGCCCCATTCGTGACATCATTTTTGGTATATTGCAACAATCAAACTTTCCTAACTGCTCACGGATTTTGTGTGCTTGTCCACCTTTTCCATCATCATAAAAGTAACAACCATTATCTCGCATTTGTGAATTTGATGATCCGAGGTAAACAAAGTGCCGACCTGTAACAGGAAGTGATCACCGCATAAAATTCCTCTTAGTTTTCAAAGGAATATGATCATGGCACGTGTTTAATACCTTTTATAATTTGAAAAGAAAATGAGAACGATGCTATTGTGAGTTAGAAATGTAACATATTAGTGTTGAAAAGAATAAAAAATCAAAGATCTTAAAATTTTAAATTTCATTAATAACATACATAACACGAATAACATTTCTAAATAATATAACTACAAATATAATGATGTAAAATCTTTCAATATATTATATCATCATATTTGAACCAAATTTATCTTCATTTTAAAAAATATCCTAAAACATTTAGAGTTTTCAGCTCAATGATATAAAAAGCCCAGTTTTGCTTAACTTTTTCTATTATGAAAATTAAACAAACAATAAAAGGTACCTTTAATGCAGGAAAAATAAAAACCAAACCAAAAAAGTACCTCCAATATAAACCCCTCGTGAAAGTGTATTAAAAGTTGTCGTTTGTATTAGGAAGAGACCAACAGTATTTAATCTTAACGGTGTACCATCATCATCTCGAAATTGGATCCGTAATGCACCATTTCCATCTTTATCAAACGTTCGAAGGACTCGATTTCCCATTAATAATTCGGGTACTACAAGCAATATACGAGTTGGTGTTATGACTACCTGAAGATTTATACTTATTAAACAATAAACAAATATATGAACAGAATTTGTGTAACATATTTCATGCTAGACATTGGATGCAATAATTCAAAATGTATAAAGTTCTTTGGATTAAATTTCTTCATGAACAATCAACACAAATATTTACCGTTGATAACGTAACAAAATTAAAACTAACCTTTCGTACACGTTGATAACCTTCTCGCTTATTCTCTTGGTAAATTTCTTCCAAAACATCTTTTTGTCGTAATAGACTATTTCGAATCTTCTCAAATGATGTAAATAAACATGGCACTTGTTTCGTTTCATCAATCATATTCAGCAATCGTTCCAATGCTTCCAATGTTAACTGCAGCAAATGAGAATAATTAGACAGAGAGATAGTCCAAATTATCTTTTTTTAATTACATAAATCGATATAAAAAATTCGTTTCCTTCCCATATTCTTTTATAAAATCCATATCAATATTTTTATACTGCTTGGAGAAAAAAAAAGATAGTACACCAAGTTTCACAAACGTTTTATATCAAATTCAATTAAACAAAATTTGAAGTAGAAAATTTTGCTTGCTATGAAATTCCTTAATTTATGTTATAGCAATTTGAAATTTTGTGCGCAAAAAATTGTTCATACCTCTTCATTATCTTTAAACCTTTTCAAAATCATATCGACAAAAGAATCACGCGTTTTGTTATCTATCTAAAAACGTTAATTACAAGTAGCAAGTTTAACTGTTCAGTATGATCAAAAGAAAATCTCAGTTAAAAATAGTTTAAAAAAATCATATTAATCCAATAAGTATTATTTGAGTCATAGTTCTTGCTAATTAAAGATTTTAATTATTCAAGCAACAAAGCTAATTAAAGATTTTAATTGTCCAAGCAACTAAGCTAACAACAAAGCTAAAGTTTGCTACTAATTGAGGTTGATGTATAACGTTGAAATCTTTCAAATATAAAACGACTTGTGTGCATTCCGCAAGCATGCTATTATTATACATGTATGCGCATGCATGTATGTTAGTGTAACGTAAAATACATTTTAAAAACTTGAAGACTGAAACCAATCAAAAGGCTACTGCAATTTCAATTATTCTCGATAATTTACCCGTTGAAGAAGTAATGCATATCTCTATATATAAAAAAAAAAGCTTTCTAAATGGGAATTCTCGGATTAAATTCTCATTTAGAAAGTTTTTTCCTATCATTACTTCCTATCATTTTTTTAGTACTATCCTTCCCAATTTTTAATTTGATTACTGATCGAGTTATTCATCTGCTTAATTAGATTGATTATTTAAATATAAATTTACCAAGATTTGATCTTTTACAACAGCACCACGTGAAAGTAATGCAGCGATCAAATATTCCAAGCCAAATACATTACAATTTCTAATCTTTCGCTCACATTCAGCATCAACACGTGGGAAAAGCGTTGCAGAAGTTTGTTCATTACCATTTGCACATGAACGATGATCGCATCCCACGAAACGTACAGGTGTATCCACGTAACTGCAATAACAATTTAATCACTGCCTTTTAAAATAAGCAGAAAGGAATAAAAATAAAGAAAAAAAGATGAAAATAAAAACATATTTTAAAATTGATTAAATAATTACTGAAAATGAGAATGATGAGTTTATCAATCACAAAAAAGAGGCATACTCTAATATGTTCAAATATCGAAATTTTAAATTTGCAAATTCGATCGATAATACTGCTCGTATACGAAGCCGACTAAGTATCTGATACAAGGTATCATCCTTAAAAATAAGCTTAGCAATTCTTAAATGCTAAAAATAAAGCTAAAATTTAGATAAAGTTGCAAAACTTTATAAAACGCAGTAAATGATGTTAGATATTTAAAGTTGGGATAGTGTATCGCTGTTTATAAGTGAAATTAATACGATACAATAAAGAAATATTCTTAAATTTCAGAAACTGTAATATATAAATCTATATTATATTGTAAATGTATGTGTGTACAGTTTCATATAAAAAGTGACATTTCAAAATTACTGAAATATTTTGTTGTAATTGTAAACAAAAGTATGGGCTTTCGTTAATAGCTGCACAGTTGTCTCGTTTGTCATCATTATTTTCTGGAATTGTCCTAAAAAATAACGCACAATCATTTAAACCGCAAAGTTGAATTCAAAATTATCATGTTATTAGTTCTTTAATTACTAGCTCCTTAACTTGATTACCGATATAATTAAATAGCGACTAATCCTAGAAACCTATATAAAAGACCAATACCAATCGATTGCTAAATTGACAGAATTTATGAAATACTTCATTACATTGAATGTTTAAATATTTTTGCAGTGCTTTCAAATACATTTACCTCCATCGATTTCCATTACTGCCTCCTTTATCATCATCTTCATCCGTTTTTCTTTGATACTTTCGTATTTCAGGTGGATAATTTAAATGAAAATAGATTCGTTTACCATACATACCGTTCGGCAATTTAGTTCGTAAATCAACCAGAATACGACGGATAGAAGAATATCGCACCTAGCATTTAATCAGCTTCTTTAAAAGTACCGTTTAATTTACTAAAGCACATTTTTATCAAAAAAAAAAAAAACTTTATCCCAAAGAATTAGAGTAATTCCTAAAGAAATAAGAATTTAGAGAATCATAGATATGAATACCTTTATAGCAATTGCTGAACCAGGAATAGCAGAAGCATGTGAAATTTTGCCGTCTTCATTATTTTTTGGTCGAAATCCACCTAAAATCAATTAATTGCATTAATTAGTCGGATATCACGCACAACTGGGGATTTTCAAATTATTAAGAATTAAGAAAAAAACAAGTCGAGATTATGTACATACCGTCTAAAATAGCAAATCGAACGATAAAAATATCACGATCATGCTCAAAATCAACAAACATCGGGTCAACAATTTCTGGACAATTTCGTAGAACACGTAAAACTTGTAAACTACGCAACTGTTCCAATGGTGTTCCTACACATGCTTCACGAGAAAAATGTGATAAAAATCGTCCTTTGAATAAACTACCAAAATGAAATGCTTCCAATGGTAAAAACATGTGTGCTGCTCTGAAAGATTAGTTTTAATTGCAAACCATGAAGTGATTTCATTCATATGATAGATATCCTCTTCGTATTATCAATTTCTTAAAGTTAATTCCAATCTAAAAATTTTGCAATTTCTGTGTGTAAAATTATCAGAAAAATAGTAATAATAATAACAGCAACAACAATAGCATAAATATCACTTAACAAAAATCTAACAAATTCTGGCAAATTTTGTTTTCATATTTTTACTCTTCTCTTTGTATTATCAATTTCTTAAAAGTCCAAGAAAACAAAATCCTTATCGTTTTCAACGAATTTCCGAATCTGAATGAACAAATCATTCAAGAATGCAATTGATTTTACTTTTAAAAGTGACTTTGATCCTTCCTATTTAACTCTTCTAGTTTGCTTCATCTCTTTTATAATGATAGTTTTACGCTAAGATAGCCAATCTTAGCTAAATGATTAACTAACATAAAAATAATGAAACTTACATACAATCCTCCAAGAAGATTTGTTTATTTGTAACTTGCAATGTAGCAGTACATGAATCAGTGAATTGAAGATTTTGTGTAAGTATCTGAAATTTCATCGCAAGTGGAAGCAAATCGATATTCCAATGCTTAGATATGACCTAAAAAATTTTATTAATTTAATGAAAATCTGACGCATTTAAACAAATCAATTAGCAAAAATGTTTTTTCCTCAAAATGCATAGATCATTTGAAAATTCCAAGAAAAAAAAGGAAAATAAATGAGCAATTAAAAAAATTTTTTTTTTATTCAATAAAAATTAATTTAACCTCTAAATTAAGCTCAGTCCACGGCTCACCATAATCATTCTCACCCATTTGTCGTTGAGTTATCGCTCCACATATTTCAGCATTTTCTGCATCCAAATCCTACCAAACATAAATTGCTTCTTAAAACATCTTGCCTTATTATCATATTTACTTAACGTTAACGTACCCGTCTGAATGAAAATATCGATAATATATAAAATAAATGTTTACAATTAAATATGATAATTTAATCAAAAATTAGCATAATAAATGAATCGCTTTCTAATTTTTTGTACATTAATAAATATAATTTCCGATAAATTATTGTCACTTTCGGACATATTTGAAAAGAAAAAACAGGTAAGAATGAAAAAAATTAATTCCCAAATGGAAATTTAATAAATTAAAAAAAAAAAAAAGAGTGAAGTCGAGTGCTTTTAACGTTCTTTTTTTGAACTGGAAAAGAATTCCATTCTACTGTTAGCTACATTGTTTTTGCTTATCTTCCATTAATATTTGCTTATCACATAATGAATGTACAAACGATACATCAACTACCTAAATATTTGAATTATTTTTAAAGCAATGAATAAAATGAACAAAATATGAATTTGCTAAATGATCAAATAGCCATAAAGAATTATTAGTAAATACTAATTATCAATAAATACCAATAATGAATAAATATCTAATTACCGATAATGATTCCATTACTACATTCACAAGCTTCATATTACAATCGTTTAAGATGACTTTCAAATGGGTTGATTGAGGGCTGCATTCAGCATTTCCGTTCATCTCCATCATTGTTTGCGTGGGAAATTTTATCACCAATTGGACGAAATTGATTTATTCCTAAAAAAAAAGTATTTAAAAATTTAAACTAATAATATCAAAAGTATAAATTTCTGAAAAATTAACACAACATCTAATCATCAAACAAAACACTAATAGATTTATTGATTATTTAATGTTACGGTAATTTTTTTTATTTCCTTTCTTTCGTTTTTTTTTCCCACATTTGTCATTATCCTAATATTTTAATTGATATAAATTTATATGATATAATAGTTATCATGAAAATAATGCCACCAAAGAAATCAATAATAATCGGTAGCAAAAATGATACCGCTGGCATGTGACCAAATATGATGAAACGTGCTTTTTTTCATTAATAGTTAATCTCTTGATAGTACGCTAATATTACTATGAATGAATGAGATGAGATAATTAATTATCAATCAGCTCATTATTCCCGTTATCACTACTACGCTAACATTATCAGAACAATACCACCGAAAATAACCACTCAAAATTCAATGTCAAAAAGAAATGAAAAAGAAGAAAATGAATAAAAATTTTATTTCTCAAGTACAAAAGTAAACATTTCATGAAAAGAGTTTGCATTTTTATGACGTAATAAAAATATGCAAATATCTTCCAATAATCAAAAAATTTAACTTTGCTAAATTGAATAAAACAGTTATGCATATGCATTAGATAAGAAGCAAAATTTAAAGAAAGAATGCTTAATTCATTGAAAGAATTTATTGGTTTTCTTCACCAATTTGTTAAATAAGATTATTGAAAAGAAAAAAATTAAGAGAAAAAAAAGATATTAGCAATCATCCGCAAAATTTTAAGCTCTAAAAGTTAAAAATTAGTAAATTTTAACATGACAATTTATATGTATTTCAAATTATTTGTCGAATTTTCTTTTTTTTTTGCTTCCTATGGTTAATTGAAATTTGAAATTGGAAAATTTTACTAATGCAATAAATCTATATTAATATATTATACAGGTCACTTGTTTTCATTTAATATTGAATTTGATAATTAAATTAAAAAACTAGGCAAATATATCGAATTAAAAAAAATCAGTTATAGCAAATAATAGAGATTAAATAAAGCAAAAGAAGGAAACGATGAATTTGAAAAACAAATAAATAAACAATTTCAAATATATCATGAGGAAAAATTTGATAATTGGAAGTAATTGCTTCATCGTTTCATCCATCATAACAATTATCTTACCTGTTAGGTAAAGTTCACAATGATCAATTTAGTCAATTAAATAAAAGTGACAATTTGTAAATTAATCGATTTAAGCAAATAATACCAATTAAATGTGGCGGGGGAAGGAGAAAAAGCATGAAGGATCAACGTGTAATTGAGACGAATTTTTGTTTTTTTTTTCTCTCTCCCTCTCAACTAAATTGACAATATGCTGCCAAATTTATGAAATTAAAATTTAGTTTACAAATAACATAACGATGGATGCGAACTTCAAAAAAAATTTGAAAAATGAAAAATTTGAAAATGAATCAATTTAAGCAATGAAATACAGTAATAAACAATATTTGGAAAAAAATAAGTTAATATCGTAAAAATGATAGATGGAAAGAATAAAATAATGCAAAATATAAATTAAAAATAAAGCAAAATACAAAACACAATAAAATAATGAATTAAAAAATCCGAAATAAAAGGTAATAAATTAAAATATCGGAAATAAAAGAAAACAGCTCAATTAAACGGGAATTACTTTAATAGCTCTTTTTTTTTCACCTTATCTTAAAATTAAATATTTTATCAAACGTTACGTGAATTTGTCTACACATTTAATGTTGCTCACTTATCAATTTTATTATAATAGGCGTTGAAAAAAAAAAATTTATCAAGAATTACCTTTCTGCTATGAATATAAAATTTAGCTATGACCGCTAAGGTCAATTTCTCTCATCACTCTTTCCTTTTTTTTTTCAACATCATATTTCTTTTGCGATATGCTATGAGACGGTATGGGTGAGGGAGGTCAATTAATCGTCATCTCACGATATATTGTTGTTAAATCTTTGCTTCCAATTTCAACAGTCACTTTTTCTTATGAGCGGCAAGGTCACTTTATTACTTTTAACCTCAAATTTCTCCTTCAAATAAAGTTATGAGGAATTGTCAGTGTATGGTTTGTTTATCGTCTCAGGTGGTCTCTCTTTCATTTTTCTCTTGCTATCCATTTTATTTCTAGCATTAGCATATTTCTTCTCAATATAAAATATTTCGAACAAGTGTTTAAGTTAAAAATTTTAATTTATAACAAAAGAATGTGTTAGAAATAATTAATTATTGGAAGTGATTTAGCATAAATTAAATATTCCACAAAACTATCACAAAACTTCTTCATTCTATGTATGCATTTCAAAATATTTGTTCTTTCTTGTTCCATTTTAATCAAAGATTGTGAAAAAAAAAAGAATTTAAAAATGTGCTAATTTTCGAGAAAACTCTATTCAGTGAAAATTTTTAAAAAATATTTTTCATATTTTTCTCTTTTCAGCAATTATCACATTTTTGTGGCACTCAATGGATTCTCGCAGTGATAGCGAAATTACTCATTCATCACGACGATACTTAAATTTCACAAAGAAATGTATCAGTGATAACGAAAGTGGTGTGATAACACAATCACACGTCCGTGATAAATCGAATACCTGTTCCAATAATTGGTCACCACTTCATCAAGCTGCGGATAATTTATGCTTGAATGATTGTAAGACACTAATTGAAACAGGTAAGATAGTTAATTGATAATTTATTAATAAATAGCAATAATGATACTTATATGATATTAACTATACTGCAGATGGTTAATCAGGTAATTTTAAACAAACTTAATTTTTTTTGTGATTCATTGCTTTATTATTTAATTGGAATTACTAATTCTAATTTGCACCTTCAAGTGGTCTTTTTGGTTTTTTTCACCTTCTTTCATCATCGCAGATTATAGTCATTATAGTTTTTCAATTCATAGCACTTCAATTAATTTTTTTTTGCTAGAATTTAATGATTAAACTTTCTAAATTTTTTCAAAGTAAAAAAAATGAAGTTAATTGATTTATTGGCAGTTTTTTTAAGGAAAATATTACGTAGATTTACGTACTTTTGGTGGTATAACACCGTTGATGTTAGCGTGCAACAACACGTCAAAAAAGCATAATAAAGCATATGAGCTAGCAAAATATCTTCTCAACATGGTGTGTTCGTTAATTTTAATTTTATTAATTATTTATGAATTAAACAAATGAATGTATTGTTAGGTGTATGGTTAAAATCAATTGAAACGTTTAAAGCTTTGAATATTTAATGAGCTTTACTTCCTTATAAGTTAATTGTAATTATCAGAAGTTAAAAAGATGTCAAACAATTTTGTCAAAATTTTCACTGTTGTTATTTATTTGATCATTTTACAGATTTCAATCAAATTTCAAAAATGTAAATTTGATTTACCAAGCAAAGATTGCAAAACAAATTTTTCTTTTTTTTCCAGGGAGCAAATCCGAATATTGAAGATAAAAGTGGAAATAATTCGTTGCAGCGAGCAGTGAACTCACGAAATTATCCTTTAATTAAATTATTAATTGAATGTGGTGCTGATAGAATGAATTTATCCAATAAAGCGGAATGGTTGCTGTATGAAGCAATAAAAAAAAAAGATACGGTACGATGCTTACAGACTGCTTTACAGCTTTTATCAATTTTCCTCTTATCT